AAGGTGATTTGAATTTACATGCTTATAGTGAAACATATTGGACAAGAGATCCCAATGATAGAAGGTCCACAACTGATTTGGTGGTGTTCTTGGGTTAAAATCCTATCTATTGGTCCAGAACTGAATATCGGGCTATTGCATCCACAGCAGTTGAAATTGATTGGATTAGGCAATTACTTGTTTTTCTACATATTCAGGTTCCTACTCCAACAACTATGTTTTGTGACAACTTGTCTATTGCACTTACTTGCAATCATATCATGCATCAGAGGACAAAACATATAGAAATTGATGTTCATTTTGTCTGAGAGAGAGAGTAGCCAAACAGCTTAAATAGATGCAATTTGTGTCTTCCAATGAACAATTTGTTGATATCTTGACCAAGGGCTTGTCATCACCATTGTTTCGTACACATTGTTGCAATCTCAGGCTTAGACCTTCCTCTCATAAGCTTGAAGGGGATAATAACAATATAACTGTAATGAATCAATGGTCTTATAGTATGCCATGTGTGACAAGATTAGTTAGGCAGTTATCAAGGTAGTTAGCTTAGTTGCTAAGCAATTATAAGATATATATATATATATATATATATATATATATATATATATATATATATATATCATGTAATTACATTCACTTCTATAAGTTTACAATATTGGAAATACAAAGACTTTTCTCCCTCTACAAGCTTTCTCTTTCTCTCACTAAAACTCCTACATACTGTAAATCTCTGCAACATTCTATGTTGCTTTACGAGGTCTACATCTTGTGTCAAAATGTTAAATAGGAAATCCGGGCCAATACAATCCCAAACAAGGGGACGACCCTCTTTAAAACAAATTTTGCCACCAAATGTGGCACGATTGCACTCTCTAGTAACAAACGCAAATTTCACCCAACTCAATTTTGGAACAAGATCCCATATGTCCCCCAGGATGCACTCCAGAGCAAAGTCAGGTTCAAACTCCATGTTGATCATCTGTACTACATTATTTGCATCAAACTCAAAAATGACTTTATCATATCCCATCTCAATGCAAAATTCCATCGTTTCCCGAATGGCCGTAGCTTCAGCCGTTGCTGCATTTGAAAAATGTAGATCGCCAGAGCCTCCAGCCGCCTGCACCAGCCCAGCAAAATCACGAGCAACCCAGCCCACTCCCGCTCATAATGACTCTTTGCATGCCGCATCGGTACTAACCTTAACAGTCCCGAACTCCGGTTTCTACCATGCCACCTTTTGTCCTTTCGCTACCTCCCTCACCGCCATACCAAACATGCACGAAGGGGCAGCGACCTGTAGCTTCGCTCCTCTAAATTCCCCAATGTTCTTATTCCATATCTCCAAAATCTCCATCGGATGTTTGTGCACTCCATGAAATACGGCTTCATTTATGTTCTTCCACAATCTCCATAAACCAAAAACTAAATCTTGCACGATCTCATCTGCATTATCCATGCTTCTGACTCTATTACAAAAGTTTTCCCAACTCGCAAGGAAGTCAGGTCCTTCCAACTCAAAAGAATTTATTTGAAGAGGTGAGCAGAACCAAAACACATGGCTTAGTTTACATCTAAAAAATATATGGTTTTCTGTCTCGTTGATCGTGCCACACACCCCACAAACATTATCAACTCTCATGCATGTGTCTTCTTTGTAATTTCCCCTTACTGCCAAAGCATTGTTGCAGCATCTTCACAAGAAAAATTTAAATTTATTAGGCACATCCAGCTTCCATATCATGTTCCATACCTTGTTATGGTTCCCACTGTTGCTCAATGACCCCTTTCCTTTCCTCCCCAAGCCTCCATTTTCCATCAATCCCAAGGCTACACCATAACCCGTTTTAACCGTGTAACACCCGTTCTTTGTGTGATGCCAAACCATCCTGTCATTGCGCCCCATCCGCTTAACGGAATACCAAGAAATGCTTCCACATCCTCTCGATTAAAATATCTATATATCATATCAACTTTCCAGGCATTTGACTCCGAATCAATTAATTCACATACCATATTTGCTTGCAATCCATCCCGAGGTCGTACTTTGAACATAGAAGGTTTTGGAAATCACAGGTCGTCACGGATACTAATTAATATTCATCCGATCATCGACTCTCCATCGTAGCCCATGTTCTAGCACCTTACGTGCTCCTATGATGCCCTTCCAGCCCCATGAGTTTTTCTTCCCAAGACTAGCCTCCCTAAGGGATTTCCTTGGGTAATATTTGTCCCTCAACACTAGACCTGGCATTTTCAACCCAACCCGTTAACTCGACCCAATCCGACCTGTTAAAATTAGTTTTCGGGTGAGTGATAAACGGGTCGGGTGGTTAACGGGTCAACCCGTTAAATAACGGATCATTTTGGATGAACCCACGAAACCCATTAACCACCCGTTTCACCCGTTATTGAGGACTTTTGTGTAATTTCAATAGTCCTAATAGAAAATCCTCAGTCCCTCCCTACTTTCTCTCTCTTCAATCAGTGCTTTATCTAAGCAAAACCAAAAAACTTTCAACTTCCTCAAAAGCCACACTGGGAGCAAAGCAACACAAAAGAATAGAGAGAGAGAGAGACAACCATGGCGTCTCTGGCTCAACAATTCACAGGCTTAAGATGCTTACCGCTCTCCACCTCGAGGCTCTCGAAGCCCTCAATCTTGCAGAAGCAAAACAAAATGCCAGGTTTGCTCCCCATCGTCTCCGCCACAATCATCTCGAATGCACAGACCAAAGAGCGCCTCAAGCTCAAGAAAATCTTTGAGGATGCTCACGAACGGGGGTGTATTGATTTGGAAGAAATGTTAAAAAAAATAAAAATAAAAATAAAAAGGTTAACCGGTGAAACCACTTGGGTTCGGGTGACCCGTTAGCTTAATCGGTTGGGTTCGGATGACCCGACCCAAACCTAGTAAATCCGACCCGTTTACAGGTCTACTCAACACCTTGGCAAGCAAAGATCCTGGGTCTTGTATAAGTCTCCATCCCATCTTCGCCAATAGGGCGAGATTGAAGCATTGGATATCTTGAACCCCCAACCCTCCATTCTTCTTAAAAAAAAAATTAATTAACGGAAGACCAATATGCCTAATAATGATTGATCAACCAGATCTATATATATGCTTCCAATTAATTAACATCGTCATCTTCCTATACTAATATACAAATAACTAGTTATAATTAATTACTATTGTCTCAGGAATCACAAGGGCAATGACTGATTAAATGAATCGATATCCCTTTCTTTGTATAACCTGGAAAATTTGAGTTTAAACTCTTTTTTTCAGTCATGAATAATGATTGAATTAGTTACTATTGTCTCAGGAATCACAAGGGCAATGACTGATTAAATGAATCAATATCCCTTTCTTTGTATAGTCTGGAAAATTTGCATTCAACTTGTGTTTTTTTATTTTTTTTATTTTTTATTTTTTTATTTTTTTTATTTTGGGTGGGGGTGGAAGCAAAGGTTGGGGGACTTTCACAACTTGTTTGGGTGCGTTTATGGGATTTTGGTTTAGAATTTTGGGAGCCAAGAACTCTCTTCAAAGTGGCCAGTAGCATTGGAGTGCTCGTAAGATTGATGTTTACACTTTCCACTACAAAAAATATGGTCTAAGAACACAATTGATTTGTGCCCTTTTCAATTTCATTGAGCACAAATATATATTGTTGCTCTTATATGTCAATGAACACAAAACTATCACAAAGTGCTTTTTGAACAAAAAGGCACATTAGTTTGTGTCTAAACAAAAGTGTATTTGTGCCTATTAAATTTTGAACACAAAAGTTTGTGTCACTATTTATGGATATCCGTAATTCTAATTTTTTTTATTAATTTACAAAACACAAAAAACATTTTTGTGCCCTCTATTTTAATATATTTAAATCATTTGATTTTTATAGACACAATGTTCGTGTCTTCCTTCACTAGTATGGACACTAATCATATTTTAGTATTAGTTTTTATTGATCAAGTGCCCCACGCACACACGTTTCATCACCATCACCTGGCAGATCCAATATTTGGATCAAACGGATGTTTTCTAAATTTATTTTGTTATTCGATACTTTTTGCTGTCAAATTACAAGGCTTTATCAACTGGATTAGTTCTTGAAAAAATTATGGAGTCGAAATTTATTTGAATAAGAGTCCACAAACCAGCAAAAATTTACGAATTTTTGATTTTTTTGGCTCTCCGTCCATCAGGAAGAAAAAGAGTGCAGAGGAGAGAGGTGAGAAGAGAGAATATGTTATTTTACATTTAAATTTTATTTATTAGTTATGTTAATAATGGGACCCGGATGAGATTTGATTAAGGGTGAGGAAGTGGAATTCCACGTATATGGAGAGTCTGGCCATACTTGCTCTTTGAGCAAGTCTTGCTATGGCATATACATTTTTTTTTTTATCAAGAGAATGCAAAATATGATACCAACTGATGCAGGGTGTAGCGGACATAAATGAATTAAAATGATAATTAGAATTGATAGGTAGGGTCCACTATCTCCTAGTGCGAGGAGAGGCCTAAAAACCCTATAAATTTTGGTTGTAGTACCAGCCTACAACGTAGACACTAGAAAGAACAAAACACAACAATCTTACAAAGAGAAAGGCACATAAAAATGAGTTTACAACTCAAATATCAATATGATAATTCAAACAACTTCTTTCCTCATTCTTTACAAGTACAAGCATTTATAGGCTTACAACTTAAAGTGAAAAATATGAAAAGACATAAAAAATAAAGGCTTACAATATAACTCCTAAAAAACTAAATGATTTCATAAAATGTCATTAATCTAGGAATTCTATATGCCACAAATTTAAAGCTAGATACATGTATTATATTATAAAACTTAAATCTCAACTGCCAGTAATTTTATGTAATAATGTCTTTAGTCAGTGGCCTGCATCGTGCTCATTAACAAATTAAAGTAAACAACCACTTTCTCTCTTCACATTATTTGAAATTATCTATCATTAAAGTTTTGGAGTTGGAGTGTGTGCCTGTTGAACCCACACTTCTCTCCCTTCTCCCCCAGTTCCTCTTCTCACGTTCTCATTCTGCTCTCAGTCAAACTCCCTCACTTCTCTCTCATTTGTTTCTCCCTCTGTCCCTTATCCTTCTCTTCTCTCTCTTGGCTCGCTTCTCCCCGAGCAACACATCCACCACGTTTCGAACACCAAATCACCACCATCCTCGTCCCAACCTCACACCAAACACAAAACAAGAACCCATAGTCCCAAACCCTAGACTCGAACCGCAAATCGGAGAACCAGAACTTCGTCTTAAATCCTAGAGAGTTCCGGCGAGTTCATCATTTTCCCTACTAAGGTAAGGCTCGTAACTACCTCCATTTAATTCCTTACGATGTTCTAAGTTGTTTTCTATCCTTGCATGTGAAATTTCCTCCACGTTTGCAAGATTGAACGGAGAGTTAACGTTCTCTACTATTCGGCGAGTTGCAGGTTTCTTGAGATTTTCCAACCAAATCTCGTCGTCTTGGACGAGATTGTCACCACAAACGCACTCTTCATAGTCCCAGGGACCAGATTCGAGCTTTACATGCTCAAATATGTCAGGGATTCATAGGGACCTAAATTGGCCTTTTAGGCCAATTTCCTGCCATCCTTTGGCCTCGATTTTGGTAAAATCAAACTCCTGCTAATCCCAGCTTCATTTTGACATAATGTGTGTTACAAACGGTTGAGATTTAATGCTGATCTGCTTCTGTTTCGAATCCAAATAGGTATTGATTTTAATTTTTGTTTTCGTTTGTGTGTAATTTGAGATGGAATGTGGAAGTGGTTTGAAATTCTGGTGTAATTTGAGATGCTTGTGGAATGTGGGCTATTTTGATTTTATGAAAAAAAATTATTTTTTTGTTTAGTCTCAGTTTCAATTTGTAGGCTATTTTGAGTTTTGAGTGTTGATAATTTTTTTTTAATATTTAGCTTAGAGGGCACGATTACTAAAATTGTGCTAACATAGATTGGGAAAGTCATCTGACAAGGTTGTCAGAACAAAGGCATAAAACCCCCTATTTGTGCTCAACTCTTTGAGCACAAAACGCCATATGGTGTCCTATGATCAAAGGCAATGCTCATAGAGAACACATAAAATTTTAGTTGCTGCATTGTTGCTATTGGTCTATGGGCACATATATTGGAGTCCTTAAGTATCAAAAGGCACAATGAATTTTTTGTGCACGGTGCCCAAATTTTTTGTAGTGTTCGGAAGGAAATTTGGACTTTTTGCTCACATTTTGGGTTGATGTAGATTTATCTTCGGACTCACCTTTGCAGTTGTTGGTCAAGCGTAGCAATGTAGAATCAATAGAAATTGAGTTAGGATATGAAGATATGCCGGATTATTGCTACCACTGTGTGGAATGTGGGGCATATGGTCAGTCGTTACAATTATGCGCTACAAGGCCAAAATATGATATAGATGTGAATGATGGGAAGGGTGCTGGACATTAGCGTCACGGTCGTTCAAGACGGGATAACCATGATGCTAGGAAATGGCGCACCGCCTTTCTGAGACCATGATATTCCAAGGTCGGAGAAAGGCATATTAGAATACGAATACCTCAGAAGTTCAATCATGAACTCAACAACCTTCGCAGCGGAGCTAAATAAGCAGAGCAGCGATGCCACCATCATACAATTCTTGAATCAGATGTGAAGTTCAACGACTTCGTTGAGATTGACTATACTTATTCGGTAAGATACTGAAACCTAATCTAGGAAGGAATCAACAAGTCTCCTATAATCTTGGATTCCTTAAAATCTAAGGTTTGACATGCGCCGCAAGTAATCACACTCCTAAGAGATGCAATATCTATCCCTAGATATCCTCTGGGATTTTCCCGATTTAATAAGGATTCTATTATCTTAAAAGGTCTCATCTTCGACTAGTATAAATACACCCTTTTAGGGTTCATCTCTGGTAACACAATTATCACATACTTATTTTTTTGCCCACTGTTTAAGTATTAAATTGCTTACTAACTTGACAATTGGAGAGCCTTTGACCCTCCATCCCCGATCTTTTAATTATAACTACACCATTGACGTGATTCTCCCTCCCGGAGATACGTAGGCAATCCTATCTATATTGAATCACACCCTCTTAAAAATTCACTCATTCTTCTATGAATAAGAATTTCAATGTTTGTTTATGCAACAACTTTTTTCTTGTTTATCCGTTCTTTTCTTGTTGCGGTACTGGGGGTACCTTAAAATCTCAATTAACACATATTTGTCTAAAAGTTCAAAGTGATAGTGCAGAGGAGTTTCCTTAGCTCACCTCCGTAGTGTTTGGTTAGCAGCTTGGGAGGCTCAAGTTGTATTAAGCGTGGTTATGATAGGCGTACTACGGGCACGGGAACATAGTTCCATGACCTGAAAATCCAATGCACCATCCAACTTCTAGAAAGTTTATACAACCTAAGGGTTGTAAGTTATAACACTTGAGGACAAAGTGGCTGATTTTATTGAGGAGGGTGTTGTTCTTTTCCTCCAATGTTTTAATTCACTTCTTTCAGATAAGCTATCTGCTCCCGATGCATCATTTCTTAAGGCCTCGTTGCCTGTTGTTGGTTTGGGGAGATTGATTTGGTCTTTATTTTTTCCTCCTAAAATGTCTACATTTGCATGGAAGGTTTTATGTGGTCGTGTTTTGACTGAGGAAAAGCTACAAAGATGCAGAATTTATATGGCATCTAGATGTGGTTTATGTTGTTTGCATGTGGAATCTTTTGAGGACGTTTTTGTTTCATGCACTTTTACCATGTCAGTTTGGCAGCATATGTGGTTATATTAATAATGATGTTCGCGATTTATGTGCGTTGGATAGGTATAGCACTACATGTCTAGTTGAGCCCTCATTATTTTATAGGAAAATTAATGAAAATGAGTTAAAACTTTGAATTTTAATGATAAAAACAAAATAAAGGGTAAGGTGAATAGTACTATGATTGACTTTTTAGTGTAAAAATATGATTTTTCGTTAAAGTGAACAATAATGGGAGCTTTTCGTTAAAGTTCTCTTTTTTTATAGGTGTATTGGCTTCTTTCTAATCATGGTTCGGTTAAGTTTAATACTAATAGTGCTTGGAAGAGTGGTTCCGATCGTGCTGGTTATGGTGATATGTTTTGGGATTCCAAAGGCTAGTTCCTTGGAGCCTTTTGTTCTAACTTAGAGATTCCTAACTTTATTGCGGTGGAGGTAATAGCGGTGATTAGTTTGTTGAATTAGATTCAGTTTGGGATTGGAAGTTTCTTTGGTTGGAAATCAATTCTGCCTTGGTTCTTGACTTCTTGTGCTCTCCACAATTAGTTCCTTGGCAATTGAGAGGGTAGTGGAGGAATTGCTTGCATAGAATTTTCCAAATGCATTTTGACCTTCTGACATTTGTAGGGAAGGTAATCAAGTTGCCGATGCCCTTGTAGATCATGGTTCCTCTTCTATTGGTCTTGTTTGGTGAGATTCTCCTCCTGATTTCATTTTGTGGTATTATCATCATGATTATGTAGGGTTTCTACCCTAGCACTTTATATATATGTTATCTTTTGTTGGCCTTGTTATTTCTTATATTGGCTATTATCATGGTCAAGATTATGTTTTATGTCCTTGACAGATTGTATTTTCTCTTTTTTAATAAAGCTACCTCGTTGTCATTTCCTATGATAGTACTAATGGAGTGGTTGACTTTGTGGTTTACTCAAAAAATATTTTTATCTGTTTATATTTGAATAATTCTTAATCTCATTTATATTTAACAATTAAGATGCCATATCAAGCCCTTTTTTCATAATACTGTCAAGCTAATTATTTGATGACTAAAATTTAACACAACTTAGTCTAATATATTTTTTAGTCAAAGAAATTAGGTAAGAATTTGAGCTAAATCACATGATGAATTAACCATAACTTGGTATTGAACTCTTCATTTAGAGAAATCGCCCTTTATATCCCATTCAAAAACCATCAATTGATGTGATGCTAAAACTCCAATCTTTATTAAACATGACTATTCTTTATTTTTATTTTTTTAATCAAAGGATTCACAGTTGAGTTGATGAACGTGACAAACATAAAAACAAATTATTAACATCTGCAATATCTATATTTCAGTCTTCTTTACTTCTGATAACCTTTTGGCAAAACTTGATCAGTGCTTCTTCATAGGTACCCTCTTCTACCTCAGGTTTCTCATACCTTCCCGTATCCAACTGCACCCGTGAAACTGGCTTCTTCAACAACGCATTCCCGATCTCTATAAGCCTCATAAGATTCTTCTCCGTTGCTATATCTACTGATGCTTCATCACCGGTCAATGAGTCATCCTATAATTTTCGCAGCATTAAGAAATTATTAGCATCATCATGCTTGCAACCGTAAAATCAAACATCACGTGTAAATTTCAAAATGTTGTTGTTTTAACCATATTTACTTGCTGCATAACCTTAACGGTGATGGCATGTACCACGTTAAAATTAACGTACCTGAATACGTAGATAGTTGTGCTTGGCGTGGATGCATTGGAAGAGGGTGGACACATGAATATCAACCATATCAGAACTCGCATCGCTGAAAATGTCTACCAAAGGTGTGTTCCCATTGTGCAAGACCCAATTGATCAAACCCCATTTGGAGGCCGTGGCTGCATTGTACTTCTCTTCGAACTTGGCGGTGCCTGTGCCCAACGATAGCACTAACAACCTCTTCGCATCCATCGGATCCGAGCCTTTCCTCAACATCTCTCTATTTATGTGACTTATGGCCATCATTGTCTATACATGATTGATGATTATGGATTAACTTAGCAGATTTAAAAAAGTGATTAGCTGTTTTGAAAAAAACTGAATGGCTTATATGTTGGTTTTGTTAGACATTCACACATGTTAGGTTACTTAATCAATTTATTGATCTTAAAACATTTAATATGTATCTGACTAGAAAATACATAACTACTTACAGGATTGTTTGCAGCAACCCCTCCATCGACGAGATCAAAAGTGCGAGTCCTTCCCTCATCATCCTTGACATCGAAGTAGTGTGCAGGGAGATAGGTAGGAGCAGCAGAGGTACTTACACAGGTATCCGAGAGCTTAGCATTTTTCAAAGGATGATCTTTTGCCTATACCAAAAATTTACACCTCGCTATAAGAAAACATAACTAGGTTGCTAAACTATATATAGTAAACAATTTTTCTTCATGGGTCCATACCACTAAGTCGTGCGAAAAATAAATGACTTAGATTGAAAATAAAAAATCAAACAATTGTAAAAAATCAAATCTAACAGTTAAAACACTTAATTAGTAACATTATGTCTACGTAGCACAAAAGCTGGGCCTGAATACTGGTGCAAAATGTAAACTTACATCAATGGTGGAGAAGACGACAGGCTGAAGGTACTTGATATCGAAAGATGGAATAAGCACATTAGTTAGAGTGTCTTTGAGAGTGAGGTCACCAAGCAGACCACTCAACAATGTGCGCAGGTACTTGCCGTCATATTTTGGCCCCATGACAGCACCAACCAAACTTTTTATTGATGTCAACAAGTTTTTTCCTCTGCAGTTTCCAGATTATAAATTTACACTAATCAAGAAAAATTAATGTATGAATTTATGTGAGACTCAAAACCAACTAGCAAACTGAGAGGTTGAAAATCTTTTAAGCACTAGAAATGCAAGAATTCTGTTCTCCGAAGTGTGATAACGCTCCCAACGTGAACCCACCACGCGTAGCATCTTTTAGCCTATAGCACACTTTTTAACTAGTATTGGTTAACACGAGAGAACATGTGGTTGACACATAAGTATACCCTGATACTTGTTAAATGTGAATATTCAACCTAAAACCAATCGAAATGGGTGACGACTAAGAAGCTGTTATAGATATCATTGGTGTTGAGCACCAAGTATGTAATAACCTTGTACATGTTACCCGGTAACAATCTTTTCCCTTGGTGTATTAAGTTGTTATATATAGATCTCACTGACCTGTTCTGAGGGAAAATCTTAGGGCAGTGATCTAAATAGAAGGTGGTGATGTCCTTTGCTTGGTACATGGGCCGATTGTCTTTGTTGGGAGCTGTAAGCATGGTGGTGATAAGACCACCGGTGCTTGTTCCAGCAATTGTGTTGAAATAATCTGCAATTCTTGCATCAGGCCCATCCAAATCCTACTCCATATGCACAGATAATTACACAAGATTATAATGCCAGTAACTAAAAAGTTAAAAACTGAAAACTGAAACGGTTATCAAACATACATGTAAAGTACCTGAAGCTTGGATTCAAGAAAGGCGAGGAGGGTGCTGGGAATTAGACCTTTAATGCCACCTCCATCGATGCTTAGAACTGTCACTGTCTTTCTCTTTGTCATACAAGTGGACATTTCAGATTCAGATTTAGTAAAATCAATATCAGTAATCAACTATAGAACTTAGATATGAATTATGATTGTGTAAACAGTTTACTTCTTGTGTTAATTTATAGCAAAACCCCCATGGCCAACTATATTTTGCTAGGCCACGCCTTTAATAATGTGGTCAACGTCTTCGAGACATTTCTATTGGAAAAAAAAAAATGTCTTTCTACATACCATGCTCTTCACGCTTTAGTTGCATGGGGATTAATTTAGATCATAACTTCCAATCATGATCGATCACTTAGTTGATAGCTACGTAATTAACTAAATAATGCTGTAATACCTCATGTTATTTTGTCGTTTCAACCTCGTATGTCAACGAGACACGACGTTCCAAACCAAGGATACTGATCTCTCTCACATAAATAATAACGCATTATTGATGCATTGTTGTTGGAGTACTGCAGATGATGCCTAGTTTATGCCTTTTCTTTTAGTTTTTATTTCTTAATCCTAGTTGATGTTTGAACGTGGAGAATAGTTTAATCGCTTCCAACTCTTCAAATTATACAGGAGCTTCTTGCATGCTTTGTATTGCTGGGGTAATGCTAGTTACACCTTAGCCATTTTTCCTGACTCATCGGAAAAATACTATAGACAAATTAAGCATCAAATTCAAGAGCATACGTTCAAATCCTTTCACAATCAGAAATCCACCTAAAAATACAAAAAAATATAGCTTCAAAGGTTATTGATAAATATGATATATAGATTAGAGACTAAAGGCCAATATGACCTGTATATAACTTCCCGAAATATTAAAATCCCATTGAGCAAAAATGAACTCATCACATGTATTGATAGATTACAATTTTTCCAGATAAAGCACCAAAGTTGTGATAGTTGTATCAAAATACCTAATTATTTAATTGACTTTGTATTGCCTAAATAAATCTAATCAAGTCGATTTTTTTCCCGTCATGAATTTTATAACAGAATCTGGGACATTGCATTCAACCAGCATTTTACTGGAAAGAAAAAATGGGGGAATTCTACCCTTTTGTGTGAAAATACACGTGACGTTTGATGTGAATCCTGTGAGTGTGTTCATCTGTCAGTATTCGGATCGATCTGAATCTAATACATATCTTACATCTAAGATACTGGATCTTGCCCGATATCACATAATTTGATTTCCAAAATTTTAAAATTAATTATGTTATTTTATCTGTTCGTATTTGATTTTTTTTTTTTCAAAAATCTGTTCGTATTTGAATAACTCATTCTATTATTGCCCCTTAATTATATTCAATGCAAACACTGAAGAGTTGAATGGTTGGTTAGGGCAAATGAAAACCATAAGAAATGATTGGCATCCGAAACTTGTTTTTAAGGAAAACTAATGAAAAGGGCTTGAAAACTTTGAGTTTTAATGATAAGGATAAAATAAAGGGTAAAGTGAATAGTACCAGGATTGACTTTTTAGTGTAAAAATGTGGTTTTTCGTTAAAGTGAACAGTACCGGGTGCTTTTCGTTCAAGTTCCCTTGTTTTTAACATATTCGCCACGTTTCATGCTTTGAGCAATTTTTTCTCTAAATCTCGTTTCTGGAAGGGAGCATATATATTGTACAAATTTGTCTGATCATATCCAACAAGTAGAAATAAAAGTAACAATTGGATATGATCAGAAACGTGAATTCTAACGGACTTCACTATGTGCTATGGCTTGAATCCATAGTCAATTCTATTTTCGATTCTAATAGGAACAGTTAACAATTGAATTCAAACTTTCCCATAATCAATCCTATTTCCGATTTTGATAGGAACAGTTGACAATTGAATTCAATTTTTTCCATTATTTTTGTATCCGTAATAATGTGAAAAGAAGGCCCAACTCCAAGTTGTTCAAGAATAGTGGCGTTGAGTTTTCTCGACCCTTTGCCTTAGGATTAGTCAGTTCTATTTCTCAATGGGGGGCAAGGCAGGGCAAGAGATATAACTCTATAGGTGGGTAGAGAGATAAAGATAGGGGGCGTAATCTTTTTGTGCTGAAACCTTGCCTTATGAAGGCGACCACTTAAGTTATTCGTCATCCAAGTACGCTTTGTGTGGCAAACAATGTGTGTTGTTGCCGCAAATGTTCACGGCAAAAAAAAAACAAAACTTTGCGTGACAAAGAGTTTTGTCGCGCAACGGATGTTTCCCCAGTGACCTAAACTATTTGTCGCACAAACTATGAAAAAATTTCGCGGTAAAATAAGAATTTGGCATCATTTTTTGCACGGCAAACAAAAGTATTGCGCGATGAAGCACTCTGTTGCCCTTGAATAAGTGCACGAGAACTACTTTTAAGCTTCGTCGCACAAAGTCTTTGAAAAGGTCTATGAGACAATAATTATAAAAAAGAAAGGCGACAAAGATGGAACTTTAGACGACGAAGGCTTTGTCACGCAAGGATTCACAAGATTCATTAAAATCCTAGATCTGCACCTTTCTCTCCTCATTTCCTCTCTTCCTCATCTTCTTCTCCAATTCCCAACATTTTTTTTTTCTCCTCCAAATTCCAAAACTTCTTCTCCCCCATATCCAAATCTTCTTTCTTTTTTTCTACTCTCACCATCGATGATTGAAGATATCCACAATAAATCTCTATTTCTCCCAATTAAGAACAAAAAAATTCAGGTTATGAAAATTAATTTTTAAATATTTAATCGTGTCTTAATCTTTGTGGATTTGCGAATTTATAGAAATTATAATAATTTTACAGATGTCGCATTTGTCCGATTCTGCATCCGATAATGCAGCCATTGGCCATTTCATATATAAGTTGATTTTCAGAAACTTATTTGTCCACATCCCATAATACCTTTAATCAAGTAGTGACGAGCGGTAGTTGGCATTGTAAGGGGAATCTATGATGATATAATCATATACATATAGGACAAGTTGAGGTCCTTGTCGGTTGGTCCTTACCCAAAGTTTATTGAATCGTAATATATGCACTTATCTATTTAGCATGTTGGATGTTCCAAACAAAGACAAGTAATACAGATCATCCCATTCAAAATCATCAACAGATTTGATCCCAAAACTCCAATTTTCTTATTCAATATTCTTTATTTTTCAATCAAGATTCACAGTGAAATTGATGAACATGATCATCACAAAGTAAACAACAAAGTTTATTAAGATATAATCATATTGCAATCTTTTGCACTTTCAGTTAACTGTTTTGCCTAATTAAGCTTCTTTCCTTCCGAGAGCCTTTTGGCAAACTCAATCAGTGCTTCTTCATAGGTACCTTCTCCCTTGGATTCCTCATACCTTCCGGTATCCAAATTCACCCGTGACACCGGCTTCTTCAACAACACCTTTCCGATTTCAACAAGCCTTTTCAGATTTTTCTCCGTTGCAATGTCCACCGATGCCTCCTCACCAATCAACGTGTCATCCTATAATTTTTACACATTAGGAAAGAATTAGCATGATCATGCTTGCAACCATAAAATTTAAAAGTTGCTTTTATACCATATTTACTGACCACAGTGCATATATATTTGACGGAGATCATGAACCGCTTATAAAATGTACCTGAATACGAAGATAGTTGTCCTTGGCGTGAACGGATTGGAAGAGGGTGGAGACATGAAAATCAACCATGTCGGAACTGGCATCGCCGAAAATGTCTACCAAAGGTGTGCTCCCATTGTCAAAGACCCAATTGATCAAACCCCATTTGGAGGCGTTGGCTGCATTGTACTTCGCTTCATTCTTGGCTGCGCCTGTGCCCAATGATAGCACTAACAACCTGGTAGCATCCATCGGCTCTGAGTTATGCTTCAATATCTCTCTGTTTATGTGGCTTATGGCCGTCATCGTCTGCATATGACCGTAGATTTAATTAATTTCCTTAGTGCATTAATTAGTTTCTAATTTTTGTCTGACAGTCTAACATGTTATTTTCATAACTTATGAATTAAATGCATATCAATTGAGGGTAGATTATCAAATTAAGTACATACAGGATTGTTGGCAGCAACCCCACCATCGATGAGATCAAAAGTTCGGGTTCTTCCGTCGTTATCATTGACCTCGAAGTAATGAGCGGGGAGAAAAGTGGGAGCAGCAGAGGTACTGATGCAGATATCCGAAAGCTTAGCATTTTTCAATGGACTTTCTTTTGCCTGTGCCATGGATTTAAAACTATATAAGAATACCTACACAAGTAGCAACAGCAATCCCCAAAAATTGAGTAAAATTACGGCTTATTCATTGTTGCTGTCTTACATCGATGGTTGAGAAGAGCACAGGCTGAAGGTGCTTAATGTCAAAAGTTGGAATAATCACATTGGTTAGCGTTTGTTTAAGAGTGAGGTCGCCAAGCAGCTCCTTCGTCAATGTTCGCAGGTACTTTCCATCATATTTTGGTCCCATGACAGCACCAACCATACTTGTTAGTGATGTCAAGAAGTTATTACGACTGCAAATTTCAAATAAATTTACATTAGAACTAGTTAATGTTGAATTATAAGTCTCTAGCTGATTAGAAATAAGTTGTGATGTTAATATGTGTATGCACTTATGTTAAAATACTAAGTGAGAAGATATATAGATGTAAAGGCCATGAGTGCCATGTGTGATGATCTTATAGATTAGCTAAATGTGTGGCTGAGATCTGTTATTAGAATGTCCTTGATCCAGCACAGGTTTTTTGTAAGCTATATATCCTTTCTTGCACGTTGTGTGCATGTAAGAGAGACATTTAATGAAAACATTATTCTGCTGAGTGAGAGCAGAGAAAAGAACCTCCATCTTCTCTCTTTGGTTTCTTCTTCTCTTTCGAATTTGCTCTCTCTAAAACACTAACATGGTATCAGAGCCTTGTTCGATCATTTGAGATCTGGGAGTAAACTGTGAAGCAATCGAGCTACACTCGAGCTCGTTCCGGTTTAGGCAAAGTCGCCGAAATTCCATAGAATCCGATTTCGATTTGTGTTCGTTTCGTCTAGCTAAGAGATGGCTGGATCTGGAAGTTCTGAGGTGAGAACTCCGATCTTCTCCGGTGAGAACTACGAGTTCTGGAGAATCAAGATGGTGACGATCTTCAAATCTCATGGGCTATGGAGATTAGTTGAAAAAGGGGTTACGATCT